CCTAAGCAGTCTTCGATGCACAAAGTGTTCCTCAGGGTCCATTTTGCCATCTCCCAGCCCGCTTAGCCCTGATGCCTGGGTGTGCAATGGATGTGAAGAAACACTCAATTTAGATGAAGTAGAAGACTACTTGAAGTGGACAGGAGAGAAACTGATAGCTCTAAAAGAGGGCTCACTTCAAGCATCCGAAAATTTCCTGAAGGAAACATCAAAGAAGTTGTCTGAGAACCACTATTACCGAAGCGACGTAAAATTGGCTTTGGCTCAGATGTACGGCCGATCCGGCGAGGAGAGCAATAGCAATATCCAGGCTCTTTCCAAAGACTTGTTACAGCGGAAAGAGACCCTCTGCAGGGAGGTCCTCGCACTAGCTGACATCTTTAGCCCAGGTGAGCCTGCCTTGTGCACCCTGACTTTGTTGGTTATAGACTTAATAGGGCCTATCCAATATTCTTCTTTTTCTTTGTAAGATCCTTTGATTAGGTATCCCTTATGACAATTATCTAGTATAAATGTAAATAATTTTCACGTCATCAGTCCAACTGATTACTTCAAAACATCATACCAACATTCTAGAACATTAGATCTTTAGCTAATATATATATATAAACTCTGCTATTCTGTGCTAGCTATTGTAGCAATAGTGGACAGGAAAAATATTTCAAAGAACTTGCACATTACTGTCCGGATTTATATTTCAGCATCACAAGATCCATTCATATATTTATTCATTAATTTATTTATTTGTACAAAAAATATACATCACTGAAACATACAAACCAACTAATGCTAAACATCAGTCATATAGCACTATATAGGAAGGTAAGTCCATGAGTTAATAATCAAATGTGTTACATACCAAAAAGTACAGCCCATTAAGATAGAATAGTAATACGGCAAGGTAAGAAAAAGAAAAAATGGGATAAAAAAGGGGGAAGGGGGTTAAGGGCGATTAGATCAAATGGAGAAGTACGAGGAGTAAAACCTGTGGAATATGACAAGGGATCGGGGGAGGGGGGAGGTGAAGTATTAGGAGGAAGAGCTGTTTTGAGTTATAAGGGTAAAAAATAGTTCTGGAGAAGTAGGAGTTGGAAGAACCCGAGGGAAAAGACAAGGGATCTGGGGGAGGAAGTAAAGTATCAGGAGGAATGTCAGGAGGATCCGGGGAAGGGCAACCTGCTGTGACAAAAGGAAAGTCGCATTTGTATTCAAGGGAACGGAAGGGATAACGGGAAAGGAAGACTGAAGCGTGTAGATGGAAGAGGGGGAGATGGGGTGTGTTAGGAGGGAGTGGGAGGAAGGGGTGTAAGGGAAATGAGTAGGATGAGGACGGATGTCGGCAGTCATTTTTAAAGTATAGAGGAAAGGTAACAGGGAGATCAGGTGGATGGGGGATAGATCTGTTTTGGAGGTCCTGAATGTCCTAGAGGAAGGGGTAGGAGTAGGAAAGGATGCGGCAGATGGGGTGGTTAATTTAGATGATCTGATCCAATGGGCATAGCGAAAAAGAGGTGGGATAAGTACCAGGGAAGTGGTACAGATTGGACTGTCTGAATTTAGAATGGTAAAAGAATCTGACTGGGAGAGGGAGTGTTGTAAGCTCTGGAGTAGAGCAAAAAAAAAAAAAAAAAAAAAAAAAAAAAACGGCGTGCTTCCTGCAAAACGTTGTGTAAATCAGGCCAAGTTTTAATTTCAGATCTGCCACCTCAGACTCAAATTTGTAGGAATTACCAGGGTTTGGCAGGGTGATCAAGATGTGAACATTTCAAACAATGGCGGGGGATGGGGTTACTATGGTCGGACAGAGGACGACTCTCCACCTGATGGGGGAGGTCATATCTATGAAAAGTACTTTGGCAATATTGGTGGAGGACATACGATGGCATCCAGGTAGATAATGTAGCACTGTACTGACATCGCATTATAGTCTACGACACAGAATAACAAGTCTATTTTAGTCTCCATAGATGGAGACAGTTCCGAGTCATGTATTGAGTGAGAGTCAGGTTTAGCAAGAGTAGGTTTAGCAGTGGTCAGTCAAGATAGATAATGCTTGAGCATGGGACTTGAATGTAACTGTGACAAGATGAGAACGATCGGAATGACTGGGGAAGGAAACTTTCCTTACTAGTATTTTGAAGACATTTGTTAGATGCGGTGCGTGTTGTCAGAGTAGGGGCTGTAAGGAGAATCACTGAAAATCGATCCCAATGAGCTAAAAAGAGTATTCGATATGTTTGAATTTGTGGAAGTAATAAAAGGACGAGGACGGGAGGAAGAGGGGCAGTGTTGAGTGAGGTAGTACTGCTGAGAGGCGGACAGTAGTTATAAGGGAGAAGAGGAGATTGGAGAAAATGAAGAAGACTGTAGAGGGGATGGAATTGAGGAATTTGGGATAAAGGAATGAATGTTTTCTGAAGGATGAATAACAACCTGAGTGGGGTAATAGTAGCCAAGCAGGGCTGGCCGCTTTTCCATAGCAGCATTTCTGCCGTTCTCTAAACATAAGATGATAAAGAAAACAGATATAAATAATGAAATAGAACTATACACTATCATAAACGGATGAATATTTGATTACAGTAACAGTGCGCAGGGTCAGAGAGATGATTATAGGAATTCCTGCATTACTTTCTTGTTCATTGCACTGCAGAAAACAGTATACATTAGATACATTATTAAGTTAATAATGTAATAACATTCAACAACATAAAATGCACCCACACTTCTTTACAGAAAATGTAACAGATATATAACTAAAGAAAATGCAACAGGGAACCTGTAAACTTAATTTATTTAGAAATACAATTATTCCCAGGGCAGTCATGGAATTTTGCCTATGGTGATGGCCAGATGGAAGACCCAGCTGAAGTGCAACGGATGTAACTAGGAGGGAAATTAAAGTGTGTTGCAGGGCTAGTTTTAAAGTCATTCTATGGAATTTTGCCTATGGTGATGGCCAGATGGAAGACCCAGCTGAAGTGACATCGGATGAAATTTCTGCCATGATGAGGTTCAATCTGCATCATCATATCAGTTCATACTAGGATGGTCTCAGCAATTTTTGTTGAATTTATTTGAACATGGAAAACATTTTAAAATTGCTTTAAATACATTCATTTGCATCAAACCATCTGTAGTCATAAAAGATGACAAAAATACATCCTACAAAAAAAAAAAGTCTGAAGTTACATCACCATCTGTCGGTCGTCTTTTGTTTCCATTTAGCAAGCAAATTTCCGTACAATTCCAGTCCTGTAGCCAAGGTCTATAGAAGAACTTGGTAGTTGTAGCATTTGGAATCGTGATCAAAATAGAGCCATGGATCGGGGAACCGGAAAAATCAGAGGATACAAAATCATTATTGGCCATGGTACCTGGAGTATATGAGAAAGTGAAACGGTCACCTTGTCATATTCTTATCCCATAAGGCGTAAGGACTAGCCAACTCAAGACCATTCAAGACTGCCCCAAAACTATCCTTTTTATCCTTTTAACATGGCTTTCACACCTTAGGAAGTAGACAGGAGTTAGAGATGAAACATAAATGGGATGGTAAAAAAGACCATGCAAAATTGGTTGAGCCGAGGGCTCAGGCCCAAGGTAGGGCGATTCCCAAAATTGGGCCACAGTTCATGTTTTCACCCCCCCCCCCACCGGAACAAATTTTGATGATATATCATGAATATACATCTAAAGTTGCATTAATATTTTTTGTATTTGAGTATGCTTCATTTGTTTAAGTTGTAGAAATATACATAATATTTTTTTTCACTTTAATATGCTTTGAAGATAAGAATAACTTAACATTTGGTATGCTTCAGTAATTCGCTGCAATATTTTTTCCTGGATGTAGAGGTATTTTTAAATATCTATGTAGATTTCAGATAACCAATGCTCCATCTTTTGCATTACAGGGAAAAGCAGACTTCGTGGCCTGCTATTATATGAACTACAAGCTAGTCTGATGGAGAAGTACCGAAGACTGCCAAAGAAAATGAGGATGTCTGGCATTGGAAAAAATCTTTTAAAGGTTTGATTTTACCTTTTTGAAGTCAATTTGTTCTATGCACAAGATTGCATTTGGTGATACAGATTTCCTCTTTATATAGTATACATTCAAGAAAGATGATAGCTAGAAATTTCAAGTGACAACAAAGTAAAACACCTTGTCTGTCAACCATAGTGGTCCTTACTAAGAATTAAAATGAAGTAGATCATGATGATACAGAACATGACAAAAATGAATTTGAATTCTGAATCATCAATGAATAAATAAAGAACAGTAAAAATGCAGAAAGATTTCCTCAGTGTACACTAATTCTGTCCTTAATTCACTGTCAGGAATCCATCAGTGCCTTGGAAGATGCAAGTGAGATTCTGATGTATGAATCTCCCCTACAAGACGAGTATCAGCTTGGTCTTCAAGCAGAGGATGATCTTAAGAATGCCAAGACCCTTCTCAGCAAGCATCGATGACCAGTGAATTGTATCAATCAGGAGACAACAGGAGAAAAAAGTTTGAATTAGTTTTCAATCCTTAAATAATACAATCATGCAAATTCTCCTTTATATTGAACATTTAATGGTTTGATATATATTTTTAAACTATTATAAGGCTGAAGTGCAATTTCCTATTCACATAAGATTTCAGAGGAAATAAAAACTTGAATATATCATATTGTTTTCCTCATATTCTATAAGACTGGGTCGGTGAGATAAAAAAATCATATCCTTTCAGCCAAAGGGTCATTTTAATATTACAAATTTATTTTTGTTAATAGCAATTGACAAGCAGAAGAGTATTTTGATAATGCTGCCTTTTTTCCTTGTTCTTCAGGATTAAATCATCTATAAAATATTATTCCACAAATAATTTTTAATGTCTACAAATGTTTAGTCTTCCTTTATCTACAGCTATATTGTAATAAATTACCTTATTTTAGGGTCAACAACTTTCAGAATTAATAGAAATTGTAGGAAAAGGAAATTTTCATATGTATCATATATACAATTTATGAGATATCTTTATTTACAAGAAAAGTTCTAATCAGTACAAAACTAGTAATGTCTCTGTTTCAGCAGTCTCACTTTGGATTGGACTGCACAGTACAAGGGGATTTCTCATAATTATATTAAAAGCTGTCATAGCAATGGGCACAAATAATGGATTCAAAAAAGAAAAAGAAGAAAAAGACAAAAATACATGCAGTATACCAAATGAGTATATCTTAATTTCATACAATGCACTTCAAAATGAAGCATATGAAACTATGTAATATCAAAATACCAAAAATGATCTGAAGAAAAGAGAAAAAAATTACTGTAATGCCATAAAGGTATACAATCAGGTCAACAAAGTTTCTTCTCTAATGTCGATGACCTGCTAGCACCATGTCAGACCAGTTCATAATATAAATACCTGTCAAGATTTTATCTTTCATCATAAATTTGTTTAAAATATGTTTTTGTCTGTTTACCAAATAAGAAAAATATATGGTATGCAAAAACTTTATGATTTATTCATACAAGTAAAAGGGCAAATTATCCAATTGTTTATGTATTTATATATACCTTCAAATACTGAATTGCATGTACTACATCATCAAATAGAAATCTCGTGTGAACTGGTCTGAAACTGAGAGAGGTTTTCTTATTGATTAATTGAAAGAAATATCAAAGTAAATAATTGTATAAAGCAACCACCCTGTAAAAAGCCTCACTATCACAATACGCAAATATCCTTGCAATGAGAGAAATGCAGACAGAGAGAGATGAAACGTATACAACACAAATTAAGACTGCTTATGAAATACTCATAAACATTTCATATGAAGTAAGAAATAATATTTTACGAAAGAATATTTCTTAAATACCAGGCTAACTAACAAAGCTACGTATACAAATATCACAAAAGGGAGCAAATAATGCCTTATGCGCAGCACCAAAATTAACTGCCAGTTACAGATCATGAGCACTGTCATGTTTCACAAGCATTTCTTTTGAACCAATCTACAGAATAATAGTGCTCAAGTCTGCTTTTGTTATGCTGCTATTAACACTACTGTTGTAGTTACTCCTTATGCACAAACTGAATACTAGTTTCATGTGATGATCAACATAAAAAGAAAGTTATATTTATCCTACCCATATATGATGTGACATGAATGTAGTTTAATCATGTGCAGAATAACTGATTACAAAAAGAGAATGAAAAATAACCACAATGACTTCAACATTCTGTTATCAAATTTCAAAAATGCATTTGTGAGAACCTTTAACAACTATGTACATTTATGTCTTCTCAAACATGGACAAGTCATCACAACCTTCTCTTAAAAATACATGGGTGGGGTTGGTGACTGGTAAGACCTTAAATGCTAATTCAGTGGCCCTCTGGGAGACAATGGCAATTCACAGGTTATAAGTATCAACCAACATCACATCTGGTATGTTTTTTATTTCTAAGTAAAGTGTGCCTCCACTGTCAGCCAGGGTATCCACTAATTGTACTTATTGTGGCCAATTTTAGCCATGTTTCCAAGTGGTGCAGCATATCTAAAGAGTAAAAATAAATGTCCACAGGAAAGCAGACTGAACTGTTAATGCATATTTCTTGCACTTCAGTTATCATTAACAGACATAACAGTACTTTCACTGTGTCTGCTGAAATAGTCTGAGGATGCTTCATGACAACACTAAAAATTTCAAATATTTCCCATTTCATATGTACTTTCATTGCTTTGGATCTTTTTCTTTTGTTCATTTATTAATTACCTAAAAATAAATATCAGAGTTACATGCAAATACTAATGCCACATTGTTTTAAAATGTTAATTGACATCAGTAAGGTAAAAATCTTATTATTCATCAATGCTCCTATGAGTATATAAAAGATATCTTCATTACAACTTACATATGTGACTGTAGAAAAATATCCAATTATGTTGGAACCAAAAATCATTTGCAATCCCAGAAAAACTTGAACAACTTGATTGACGCATAAAGTATTATACTCAGATTTGGTGAAGATAGTTGCATGTCTGCAAGCCATTCAACAATATTGAGACAACTGCTAAATGAAATCCGAAAGTTCTTCATGATATCAATGTCCTCAGCATTCACCTTAACACTTCCCTCTCCAGCACCACAAGAATACAACCTTGCTTCCTGTAGCAGACATGAACACAGAAGCAGGCAGTTGTTCTAGTTATATGAAAATCTGCTGCTACAAAATTCAATATGACTGTAAATACTTTAATTCCTAATTATTCTTAAGAAGAATGATGGCAATTTTTACTATTATAACATTTTTTTCTGAAATATCACAATGAGAATTGTGCACATATATATGCATGTATGTATGTATACATATACATGCATAATACCCACATCCACACACTCATTTGGACACTCATACCTACACATACATACATACATATATATATACTGGTGCCCATTAATAATAGAATATAATAACACTAATGAACATTTATTTATTTTAAGTTGTACTGTCTTTAATATCTTGTAAATACTTATATAATGACATGAACTCTCATGACTACAATGGACCCTATATCACTAGTGCAGCCCTTTGGAAGTATACACTTTGTAATTGCAGAAAACAGACCATATGCATATTTCATAAAAATGGCCAGCAAGAGATATAAAATTAATTTTTAAAACAGAAAATGAAACAAGAAAAGAAAAGAAAAAATTTCAAGGTAAAAGAAGGGAACACTTGCTAAAAAATGCAACAAATATTAATCAAATGGCAGTAAAAAAATAAAATGAAGTATTCATTTTACAGGAAAAAGTCATTACCACAGACTTCTACATGCATTCAGCCAAAGAGGACTAAGGGCTAAGAGGAAAGAGGACTCTTAGGTGGCAAAAAAATTGTGGGCGGGGAGACAGGTGGTATGTTTGGGAGCAGAGGCAGAGGAGGGGATGGAAGGGAGGGAAGGTGGGGAAGGGGTGGCTGCGGAAGAGGCTGGATTGAGGGCTCATCAACAAGGAGTTCAAAATTATATCTTTTCACAATAACTGTGGCATCATCAGGTGACATTTTGTGAGTTGTGATCAGGTGCTGCTTGAGATTCCTGGAAGAAAATTAGATTAGTTGATAATTTTTTGGAATATGATTTGTTCCATATGTACATTTATTACACATCAGGAAATACCCTGTAACAAGCTATCATTATGAGCTCTTGCAATATAATTCAGGAACCTGCATCTTTTTTCATTGTTACACTTTGTTTCTTTAACCTTTAAAGTAGTAACTGTTATTTTTTCTAAAGGAATCATACAATGATGGACTGTCATGAACTGAACAACCAAAATAACATACAATTTAAATTCACAAATGTTCAGTAACATTTTCTTTGCAGATTCCAACATAAATGAGATGCAGTCTATTGACAGATTCATCAGAGTCTACACTTCTTGGGGTACTAATGTTCTGCACAAAACAGTAGTCTTGTTAAATAACCATAACATAAATAGGTTCATAAATTGTCTCAAGAAAACTTTAATAGACAATCTAAGGCCTTTTAAGAAAGAACAAATAAAAATTTCAGGCAACAGGTTACATCAAATACTACAAATTTACCTCCTCTGACTGAGCATGCGTCCACAAGTGGGACAATGACATCGCTGTCTCGAAGGCTGAGTGTAAGGTGAAGAGGAGCCTAGAGTCCCAGTTCCTGCAAGCGATAACTGGACATCTGCCATGTGGAATGAGAGGCGATGACTGAGATCTGTTGCACCTGTAGTGAGAAAAATGTTTTCTAGCCCTCTTTGATTAACTTACCTGGAAGATTTATATTTCAAACTAGATTTCAGAACAAATAACCTTAGTCTGAAACAGTGATCTGCCTTCTGGGTAAATATAATCAAGAAGTCTATACCAGGCTGAATGATTTTTTTATATCCCCAATTATTATCTATTCCCAGACAGTGTTCACTCTATCCTCTGTTAACATGTCTTTTACCTTTGTGAATTACTGCTATCACATATCTCAAAAGTTTACATCCCTCTCTTAACACTCACCGGAGGTCATTATTTAGCACAAGATTTGGTGCACTGGTTATTTTGAATTACACAGACTGTGCATGTGGCACTACACTAATTATGATTGGTTACTTTATCAGCTATCATTTATCAGTAAATGGTTGACTTTCCACTCTCACCACTGAATGAGCAGTGTGAGTTTACAACAGTATATGTCCATGTGATCTTCACCAAAGATAGAAGATGAAGTGATGACAAGGAAGTAGCAGCCAGCCTGTGGTGGCTGTTAGGCAAACCTGTCAACCCATTGATGCCTTCATTCAAGCTAAAAGGAAATGTGATGGCCTTTTATCTTATATATCTTGTATTTTGTTCTTATATTTTCAAAAATTCAGCATTTATTTTGTTATTCAACATTCTCAATTCATTACTGATAATATTAACCCAATACAACTGGGGATGGTATGTGTATATACAAGCAATCCCTACTGTGAATTTTGTTTATCACAATAGTATTTACACAGAGATGGATCTACAAGTGCTGAGTCACCAAGGAGTCAATCACTAACCCTACCTATTTCACCTGTTTACTATTTTCCATGATAGTCATAAATCTTATACTTCATTTCACATTGCAGTTAGTATTGTTAATAACATTATACTTACAAAAAAAATCTGCAATAATAACTACATTGATGCAAATAGCATTATAAAAAAAAAAAAAATCTGGAAACTCACAGAATGGGGAAATTAGGTGAGGTCATGTAGCCTACAAACCAACTTCCTTGTGGGTGAACACTCATGGAGTCATCTACATTTCACAAAACCTATCTACATTGAATATAACATGTTCCTGGCAGCATTGGTTTAAAGTTGCTTCTAATTGGAGCAGAATTTAGTGGAAAGCATAAAATATAGTCTGTGTAGATACTCTCTCCATGAATGGAATAGAATTATTTCCATTAATTCTCAGGTTCCACTATTATAAATTTTCACAATCATGTACAGATGTAAAAACAAATTCATCATGACGTTACTAAATCACTTTTGTATGAATCCAAAGTTTCTTTTAGAAGCAAAGTAATGCAATCTATCTCATTAAATTTATTAAAATACAAGAGAACAATTTAGTTCCCATATCATATCTTGATATATTGCATGAAATATACTTAAATACACTTAAACTGCTCCTGTTCTTAAATAAAGCTACTTAGGAAAAAGTATCTTTCATCTAATCTTTACTCTTTCCTACACTTGAAAATGAACATCTGACTAATTGCTACTGGCTGCCAATTTTGATTTATCTAAACTACTTTAAGAATCTAAAAGCATTGTACAAAGTAATAAAACATGATTAAAAGACTAGAAAGAGCTTGAAGAGCCTATTATTCTGAATGCTAGAAAAAACTTGTAAGTGGCTATGGTTAATCAGAAAGCCTGTGCTATATTTTTTAGAACAGAATGTAGATTTTCTTTTAAATTTTAATATAAGCAAAGCTACAGCTCTTACACAATATGAATCAAATGTACCTAAAACAATCCATTATCTTTTTTTTATTATTTGCACAATGCACTCATTCATTCTGAAAAAATAAAGCTACAAAAGCATTATTTATGCCTGATGGTAAGAGGATGATCTTTCAATCAGGCATACTATCATTCTTATTTAAATTCTAATGGTTAATAATAATTTTGTAGTATTCATGAGAATCATAAAGACAATGTACCTTCTTTGTCACATGCATCTGGAATAGGGGTGTCTTATCTGCTAAATTTTTGTTGTTTATTTCAAAAGCCCCTTAAGAATCTACCTACAGTTCATTTATCTGGAAAAATATGCAGCAGCAATAAAAAGTGCTTCTCTGAATTATGGAACAATAGCACAGCAATAAGAAGAGCAGGAAAGGACAACCTGAACCTAAGCATCTTTACAGTCATTCCAAAACTTCTGATCACATAGCTACGATACTAAATATTCTATATTTTCCTAAAATGATACATTAAATATATTTCTTTCCTCAATTCACAGGTAATGAGTATGAAACCAAACTGCCTTGGCAGATGGCAGCACTGACATCTAACAGTTGAAAAACCAGTAGTAGTTAGAAGAAAAAACATCACAATATATGCAGCAAAAATTGAAAGAAAATCTGAAAATTCTGACAGGCATATCTTATACCTTTTTGGATGCATTCTGTTATGATGTTTGATAACAGAGACTGGTATATTTTTCTGTGGAATTCCCAGATAATTTT